AGTTATAATAATATTCCACAATACCATAACCCAGCCAAGGCTGTCTCCAAAAACAAACAAACAAACAAACAAACAAACAAACAAAAAATAGTAAGTCAAAGTAAAATAAAAATTTAAGAAATAATAAAAGTGATATATTATAAAAAGCAGTTATATTCTGTAACAAAAGGGGGATATCAGTTTTCTCAGTTTTTGCAAATCTGGTGTCTGATTTGGTAGAGAGCAGAGAGTCTCGTTACTTCCATTGTCATCGTCGTTGTCATAGTGGGCTGCATAGTCTTTGGGAAATGCTACTGGAGACACTTAAGAGAGAAGGCCAGGAAGTAAGGTAGACAGTGTCTTCTTACTGTAAAATGGTTTTTACCTTGTGGACTGCTTGATAATGCTTCAGGGTCCCCAGGCTACTCTTTGTGAGTCACTATTCTAGAACAGTCTCCTTGTAGTGGGAAAGGGCTTGTTCCTGAGAGATTGTCGCCTTAAAGCAGCTAAACTGTGGAGCTGGGCTAGGCTATGCCCCTGCCTTCAGGTCTGAGGTTTTTCCCATCTCCTTAGCTGGGCTGGGCAGGCTCTTGGCTGGCCTTTTGGGAGTGGGGCCTAGGCTGCTTGGCTGCTGAGCCCCTGGTGTGTGGTCCTATAAATAAACCCATTGTGTGGAAACCCCTTCCCTTGCCCCACCTCCAGCAGCTGCTATTTTTGTTGTTGGTTATGCCTTGGACAGGGAACAGCAGAGCTCTGAGCAGAGGTGAGGACTGTTGAAATCCAGAGGATTTCAGGGGGCTAATAACATGCCACCCTGCCCAGCAGGGTAGGCCTGGTATTGCTTTGAGTTGAGTTTGGAAGAACTTGCACCTCTGTGGTAGGCATCACTGCAGAAAGACCACTGTGTCTCTGTACCACTTGTTGTGGGGGGCGCGGGGGATGACAGGGACAGGACAATACTCTTGTCTGCCCTCTTTCCCAGTTCCAGTTGGAATTCTTAGGTACTTTGGGCCAGAGATGACGTGGACCCTCTCAGGTCTTGCCCTATCCCTGCTTACACCCTGCTCAGCCCAGGGCTCCTCTTAGCTTGCTGTGTGCTTGCTGTGGGTGCCAAGGTTGGCTGTTGACAAGTGAACTCCTGGGTGTTACAGGCTGGGATTCCAGAAAGCAGCTGTCGGGGAGCTGAGCTGGTTGGTGTCCCAGAGGATTCTTTTATTTAAGTAAGTCCCCGTCTCTGCCTTCCTGCTGCAGCTGCCCGCCCCGCCCCCACCGCCTGCCCCTGGCTTTTCTCCCAGGAGGACTGTTGGGGGAACAGCTGGGAAATGAGGGGCTCCTCAGGGCCAGAAGGCCTTGGCTGATGGCCCAGGTGAAGACACACACACACACACACACACACACAGAGAGAGAGAGAGAGAGAGAGAGAGAGAGAGAGAGAGAGAGAGAGAGACTCAGGCCCTGACTAGAGAAAAAGAGAACGGGGGCTGAATAAAGGCCAGTATAGCAAGATCTCCCAAGGTGCACGACTTCTGCCCATCCTGACCTCCTAGATTTAAAGGGAGGCCAGGCTTTGCATGCAGCAGACCTGCCATTGGGATTGGGAGGTAAGGGCCGTTTCATGACCCAGTTCACCAAGAAAAGTTCTCAGGTTACCCAGCCAATCTTTGTCTGTCTGTGGCCGGTTTCCTTTTGCCCAGGTTGGCCTAATCTCCTGCCCCTCTCTTCCAATCCCTGGATTACAGGCATGAGCCACCATACCTTTGGGTTTAAGGTGTTTGTTTCCTTTATTTATTTTTGGTTTTCACTCTGATCCAAGCTGGTGTGGTATATCTTACTTAATATCCTAGGCTCTTCTTCAACTCCCAGCTGTCCTCCTACCTCAGGGTCAAGATTACAGGAGTGAGCCATACACCTGGCTGACCAGACACCTCTAGCCCAGTTTCCCCTTCCCTGTCTCCGGCTGCCTGAGAGCTCTCTGCTCATCCTCCCTTCACTCCCTCTCCACTGAGGTCACTTCCTGGGAACCAGCCATCTTGAGAGTAGGGGCCTCCCGTTTGCAATTCAGAAGCTTCCAGTTCAAGCTAAGAGTTTCCAAACCCAGCCGCCTCGTCCCTCCCCAGCCTGGTTGGCAGGGAGTGACCCGATACAACCTTTCTGATGTGCTGTGGAACCCTGTGTGGAATGTTGGAAATCCTGGGACCAAGGGAGGAGGAGCGTGTGTGGCCCCAGAGGCAGTGACATCCATATGTACAGTCTGGTCTTAATGCGACTGTCATCAACGGATTTCCTGTTTGAGTTTGGTGTGTGCCTGGAGATAATATGTCACTGGTGCGTTCTGGTGTTCCCTCGAGGGCCACAGGGAGTTTCTTGGAAAAAAATCTTTAAAAGTTTTCAAGAATAAATGGCTCTCAGGATGCAGCCAGGCTGATTTTGAACTCACGATACATCTGCCTAGGCGCCCAAGTGTTCCAGGATTGTGCCCACACACTAACTCTCTTTTCACCTTCAAGGCAGGTGAAGTCATTTCCCACCAAGCCTGCCAACCTAGGCCCGCATGGTAGGAGGAGGGCACCAACTCCCACAAGTTATCCACTGCCCTGCAGTGTGAGATACGGCACACGCTCCGGCCTGCTCTCTCACACACACAAATGTAGTAAATACAATAAAAAAAGGATTCTGCTTGCGTTCTGGCTCCACACATAGGTACTGATGCACTGCTTCTCACCACCAAGGCTAAGGACAGGGCTCATCCCATGACCATTCCCAGAGCAGGCTGACAGCTCCCTGCTCTCTGCTGCTGGAAGCCTGCAGACGCCATCCTGAGTTGCCAAGGCCTCTGGGGAAGGGAACAACAGCATTTCTCCCACAGTGGGAATGACTCACAGTCTTCCTGTGTCAATACTTGCAGAGAGCTACAGGAGAGACTATCACTCTTAGCTTAGAACCATCACGTTGGGACTGTAGTGATGGCTCAGAGGTTAAGAGCACTGACTGCTCTTCCAGAGGTCCTGAGTTCAATTCCCAGCAACCACATGGTGGCTCACAACCATCTGTAATGAGGTCTGGCGCCCTCTTCTGGGTGTTCAGGAATACATGCAGACAGAACACTGAGTAAATAAATCTTAAAGGGGAAAAAAATGAAACGTCAGGTCATCCAGTGTATTCCCCTGGAACTCGACCCCTGCCTCTTCGTCTGTAGGGTTCATATTTGGAGAGAGGGGTACTGGTTGCCTTTGGGGTATGTGGGGCTTCACCTACTTCAGCAGATAAAACTCCAGTGACCTCAAGTTCTGGCCCTCACTCCTGCCTGGGATGCTTCCTTATTGTTTATGAAGAGACATCCCAGTAAATTACCTTTGTCCTCTTTGGGGTTTTGTCTCTGTGTAAAGAGCACAAGCTGGTGGACTTCCACTAGCTTTAGCTTTATTTCTGGACGCTGGACCCTGTCCAGTTCATCCCATTTGCCTCGTTCACCATCCCAGTGCCCAGAGGTATGCATACATGCCAGCTGCTCTTCCCTGGGAGTTGCTATGGAGGAAACAAAGAGTGTAAGCTAGAGGGGAAAGCTGGTGACCACTGGGCATCAGGACCACAGACTGGAGCTGGGGGATGCTGCAGACACCAGAGTTGAGGGGTGAGCGCAAAACTGCCAAAGGGTGGGTGTAACCTGGGGCCTTCTGAGTCTTAACCCTTACCCGTGTGTGGGAAGAAAAATACTTCTTAAAGTTCTCATTTTTCCCAGGCCCCCATTTCTAAATATATCAAATGAGATAATGTCAGGAGCAAATCAAGTTATACTCAGCTCATTTGACAATGTTAAAATAACAAAGGGCTTTATTTCTTTAAAGACTTACTATGTTTATTTTATGTGTGTGGATGTTTTTGCCTGCATTGTGTAAATGCTGCACGTGTGTGCAGTGCCCTTGAAGGTCAGGAGATGGTGACGAACCCCCTGGAACTAGAGTTACAGGTGCTTATGAGCAATCATATGTGCGCTGGAAACAACCTATCTTCTACAAGAGCAACGAGTGCTCCTGACCACTGCGCCATCCCTCCAGCTGCCAGTACTGTACATTTTCTTGTGCAGTGTTAAAAATAAGTATTACATAGCTCTTCCTTTTCTGCTCACTCAGGAATGCATGCATACAGCTAAGAAGGAAGACTTCTCAGCCTGGGGTTGTAGCTCAGCAGCTGAGACTTGCCTCGCATGCCCCGAGGCCTCTGGCACTGCCCTCCCCGCCCTGCCCAGAAACCACCAGAAAGGCTTCTCTCCTTTGCCTGTTACCCTCAAAACTGTCAGCTGACTCTTTCTAGTGTATGAGGCAGAGCCTTATATATACTAAGGGACTCAAAGGGAAGGTCCTCCGAGGACAGAGCAGGCCAGGCCAGGCAGCACCCAGGACATGTAGATGCCCTGCATCTAAGACTCGAGTGCGGAGGGCCCGGAACTCAGGCTTACTGTGTATGAGCCCAAGGTCACAGCAGGCTTTGGACTGCCTGATGAGCACGGGGTGTGTTGGAAGTGTTGAGTGAGTTTCTGCTGAACACTGTATCCATTATCTCATGTGTCCTCTATCTGCCCTTTGTACTGAGTAGCCTTATCCCCATTTCTTAAGCCAGGAAAGTAATTCTCTGGGGTCAGTATCTAGCTCAAGCCTGCCTAACTGTAAAACTCCAGGAATACAGCAGGTTCTCCCTACTGTGCTCCCAGGGCTTGGCAGAGTTTGTTCCATGTAGCTGACAGTAAGGCTGAGACCACAAAGGAGGGGGCATCCATGCCTGCCAATGTGCTGTGTGGACCAGTCATGTGACTGGCAGGTCCTTTACCTTGAGAAAACCCGATCAGACCTCTGTGTATGGTCAGCCCCTCGTGTTGTCTTGTGCCTTGTGTTGTCCATGGGGTAGAAGCTTTGAAAGCGATGGCAGGGCTCTCAGCGTGCAGCTGTGCCCTCTCCCTGGCACAAAGCCACGGCCCACAAGTACCGAGAGAGGGCGTCACTCACATCATCTTGTTTTCTCTACAGGTAAGGTGACTGATCTGGCTGCCAGAGTGAGGGTGCCAGCCTGGGTGAGGGACAGAGACCGGTGAGTAGCCTAAGGCCTGTGCCTGCCGGTGAGAGGGACTGGAGAAAGGGCTGGGGACAAGAAAGGCGGCACTGTGCCTCAGTGCGGAGGAGAGCGAGTTTGGACCCTGAGATCCTTCCTCTTCTGTGATCCACAACTTCTAATTCCCTTTTATGGGGCCTTTAATTGGCTAAGGAGGAAGCGATGGAGCCCCTTCCCACTAAGGTTCCCCACGGTGTTGGTGCCACTGGCTCCAAAACAGCTGGCAGGAATGTCTTAATGGGAGAGGAATTTTGACTTTCGGCAAAGAGGAGAGTGCAAAGAGGCTTCATCTGGTGGCAAAAGTGGGAGCTAAAAATCGTTCACAATCTACCGACCAGGAGGTGGGGAGGGTGAGCGCAGGGACTGAGCTGTGTCCTCCAAAGGTCCTAAAGACTCAGAGCACTGCCACCAGACAGGGACTGCATGCTCAAGAGAGCCGGGGGGGGGGGGGGGGGGAAAAGGGGGTAAGGGGGGGGGGGGGGGGGGGGGGGGGGGGGGGGGGGGGGGGGGGGGGGGGGGGGGGGGGGGGGGGGGGGGGGGGGGGGGGGGGAGGGCATTTCATAGTCCAGCCGAGAGATGAAGACTTGGCATTTAAAGCTATCAGCAATGGCGAGAGCCTCGTGGACAGGAGGAGCACATGACACACTGCCGGTCAGCCTTGCTGTGCTTGTGTAGCCCAGGGTGGACTAGTCTCTTGTCTTCAGCCTGTCTGCTGCATGCCAGATTTCATGAGGGCAGTGTGAGCTTGGGCAGGGAAGGAAGTGCTGTCCCCTTGCTCAGAAGCCAACAGCCTTGGTCAGGGGACCATTACAGAACTGCCGGAGCAGCACCAAGCACAGATTGGCCGCTAGAGCCCAGGCAGCAGTGGGAAGATTGCTGTTGGGCAGCAGCAGGAGGCGCCTGCAGAGAGGTCCCATTGCAAAGCAGCTGGCACACTGGGACCAGTGGCCACGCTTTAAGCTCGCTCAGTACCTGGGCCATTAGTGTTGGGGGACACAGGATTCTTTCTACTGTGTCGAGGAGGTGACAGCATAGCTGCTGTGTGGGTGCTGGGACCTGAACCCCGGTCCTCTGAAAGAGCACTCAGCACTCCTGATAGCTGAGCCATGTCTCCGCCGGCCTTTACCTTTCAAATCACCTTGGCAGAGTTAATCTTTATGTGTCAACAGCGGGTAAGATTAGTTGAAGTTGATGTTGGTTTGTAACCAGGGACACTGATTCACAGGGCAGCTGACTGAGTTGCCAGTTTGTGGTGAATCCTAGTGAAAAATTTGAGGTCCAGGCCCCTAGACAGGGTATGGGGACACTGGGATTTCTTTAGCCTCTGCCCCAAGAGCAAACGGGTCAGCAGCCTGACTTGAGCTGTCGCATTGTAACAGAGGTCAGAGAGTTTTGTCCTCCTCTTTATTTCTCTTCTTGCCTGTAAGTAGCCTGCCAGGGCTTCGCTCTCTTGTCCTCAGGGCCTGACACCCAAGGCGATGGAGCGGCCGGCCGTAGGCACTGGGGACCTGGAGCCAGCGGCCGGTGACGTCAGCGGCATGGAGCTGGGCACCTGCCACGAGCTTCTGCGCCGACTTCGGGAGCTGGAGGTGTGTGGTGGCAGGCCGGGTGGGGCAGTGGTGCTGGCCAGGACCCTGGGGAGTCAGGGCTGTCCACCCAGGGCTTGCCAAGCTGGAGGAGGCTGGGTGCTTCAGTGCAGTTCCCCTGAGCAGCTTAAGAAGACACTGCAAAGGGGTGAACTATCCTATACCCCAAGTGTCTTTCCCTGCCCCTTCACTTTTTTGGCCCTGCTGACTCCAGGGAAAACAGTGGTCTCGGAGACAACTGAATACAACAGTCAGGTGACCCAGGGCCCAGTTGACAGACAAGGCAAAGCATCCCTTTCCCCGTGGTAAGAATGAGCTCCAACACTTCCCTTCTCCTCCTCCCCTGTAGGCAGAGAACTCAGCGCTTGCCCAGGCCAATGAGAACCAGCGGGAGACTTATGAACGCTGTCTGGATGAGGTCTGTGGGTATGCCAAGGACAGTGCTGGGGATGGGCATGGGTAGACACGATGCCAGCTCAGCTTCCGGCTTTCTGTCTCCAGGTTGCCAACCACGTGGTCCAGGCACTACTGAACCAGAAGGTGAGTGATTCAAGAACCATCTCATACTCCCACCCGACCGCTCCGAGGTAGACTGAGGATGTAGTCAGGAGGGCTATCCTGGGACTCCAGGGCCTGCTCAGTTAAGTCTTCACTAGGGACTAGAAGAGGAGCTCCCTCCACCTGGCCCCGCTCTGCTGCCGCTGGCAGGACCATCTTTATCAGGAGACAAGGGGGGCATAGGTAAGGCCAGATCTGGTCTCTGAACTGTGGGAACTTTGATTTGGACTTGGCGCCTTCCCTTAGCCTGAGCCCACTGGCTTCTCTAGGTTGGGATGGCGTTGAGAGCGGTGCTGACGCTGTGGGGCCCAGTGGCCTGGAAACATTAGCTGCGGATAACTGTACTATGAAGCCCTTTGACTTCGGGGTCTTCCATGTCTTATGATCTTTCTTTGACACAATTTCTAGGCAGGAGGTAGCCAGCCCCAGAAATGGTGAAAAGGACAGAGACCCTGGCCTTTATGGTCCACTAGACTAGTAAACCTAGAGAACTGGTCCCCAGAGGCGGTAGCCAGGAATATAGCTGACTGGGCTGAGACCTGCTCATTTCACGGTTCCTCTCCTGCCTCCCCATCCTTGCTTCCTGTACCTCCTGGGTGGACAGGACCTGCGGGAAGAGTGTATCAAGCTGAAGAAGAGGGTGTTTGACTTGGAGCGACAGAACCAGATGCTGAGCGCACTATTACAGCAAAAGCTGCAGCTCACGGCCAACTCCCTCCCTCAGGTGGGCAAAATGCTTCTCCTTTCTCCCTGGAGCCAGCGTCTGCGGCCCTGTTGGCATCAGCATTCCGTTCTGCTCACCTCATAGGAGAAGGGCATGAGTTGTTCTCAGCACAGGGGCTTGCAGGGCCATGCAGGGAAGGCTTACCCAGACTAACAGACTCGTACCTTAGCTGAGGGAAAACTCACTGAGTCCCCTTACAAACTTAGCTGCTACCCATTCCTAGGTTCTCCCTAGCCAGCCAGCCAGCATCTTTGTTGTTGAACAGATTCTTACTCTGTAGCCCTGGCTGACCTTAACTTGAGGCAATTCTCCTGAGTACTGAGATTATAAGTATGGCCCTCACTCTCAGGGAACCCCCCCCTTTTTTTTTATTTTTGGTTTTGAGACCTCGTTTCTCTGTGTAGCCCTGGTTGTCCTGGAACTTGCTTTGTAGACCATGCTGGCCTCAAACTCACTGAGATCCGTCTGCCTCTGCCTTCTGAGTGCTAGGATTAAAGGCGTGCACCACCACCACCTGGCCAGTGTACCCCTTCTTATTGACAGAGAAAATTCAAACTTGCTCCAGCCCTGTGTGGAGAATTGGGTGGAGGCTAGACATGCAGTTATTTCTAGCTCCATAGAGGCCCTGTGGCCACTGACGCGGCTTCTTCCTGGCCAGGGCTAGGGCAGGGCTAAGCATAAACAACCCGTGGTTTCGTGTCGCCGAGAGGACAAGAAAGGCTAATCACCCTGGTAACCAGATGTGTGTGGCTGCACACACTGCCTCTGACTAGTACTTCAGAGGCAGTGGTTTCTCCTGGAAGGCTCTGTGCATGGGTCCTGGGTTCAGTTGTCACTGGTACCACCTGTCAGGGACCCCATAGATGGGGTGAGAAGATAAAGAACAATCTGGAAGTCGAGGAGAGCAGAAGTCACTTCTGAGGAGCAACTAGCCCTTCCCCATCTTGACAAGAAAAGGACTATAGCAGGGAGGAGCTGAGCCGTGTCTGTCTGTCTGAACCTGTGTATCTCGCCAAATAATGCAGCCTAGAGCCTGACCCCTGAGCTGGGCCCCCACCAGCAGGGGAGAGTCTGTAGTTGTTCCTGCCCTACCGTGTCACTGCCTGGCAGAACCCCCCAGAACCCCGAGGCCTACCGTCACCAAGCTCTCTCCATTTCAGTGACTGATAACAAAACAGGGAGCAACCTTAAGTCAGGTTTTTAGATCTCTCTATTCCAAGTTACCATGATGCAATGGAAAATTACAAACCTTGGCCTCAGATAAACTGGGGTTGGATTTCTAACTGAACTGCTTCTTAGCTAAGTGTGACCTCGGGCAAAGTATCACACTGGATAAACTATAGGTTTCCCCCTTACAAATGGGCATAAAAATGCTTACATTACACATCGTTGCTCGGATTAAATGAGATAATATGTAGTGGTTGGCTCACAGTTTGTACTACTGTGATTCCCAGGGTGTGCTTCTCCAGGTGAACCTCTGTCAGCAGACACTAAGCTTTTCTCGTGAGCCACGCCTTTGCCACAGCCTGAGGAACTGAACTGCATCTCAAGGCCCTGTGGGGTCACATCCTATGCAGGGTGGGTGTGGCCCTGGAAGGCTGAGACTCCTAAGAGCAGTCTGGACAGCCGTGCTACAGTCAAGTGTGGCAGTACTGCTTATCCCAGTGTGGGGACAGCTAGCCCCGGAGAAGGCCTCGAGGCCTGGGGAGGTGGCTTATCCGGTGGCTTATTGCTCTCGTGCAAATGTTAGGGCTTGTGTTTAATCCGCAGGCCCCATGTAAAACGCTGGGCATGGCTGTGCAGTTTTCATTCGAGCTCTGGGGAACCGGAGACAGGAAGAGCCTTGGACTCACTAGCCTGCTCACTGAGCCCCAGGTCCCAGTGATGAACCCTGTCTCAAAAACAAGGCAGGTGACTCCTGAGGAAAAGCACCGACATGCACACATGTGCAAGCACCACACACAGACACACACGCGCACACACACACACAGAGACTTAAGGTTACTGTAAGGAAATGCTATTGGGCCTGCGTGTAGGTGGAAAGGAGAAAGACAGAGAAGGAATCCCCATTTCTGAACACTAGACAGGGGCACTGGCTGCTTGCCTAGAGCAAAGGCTGTGTGAAAGGACGCAGGTGACTAAAGCTGGAGCAGCTGTCTTGAGAGTCGCCTGCTGGAGGAGGGGAGAAGATCTATGGTGGGCAAGGGCCAGGAAAGGAGGCTCTGTAGCACGAGGGCACTTTAGGAAACGAATGTGTTAGCTTCCTTGTACCAGACTAAAGGGCCACTGAATGGGGTCTAGGGGATTCACTGGATTGCCAGGCACTGTCCAGGCCAGAGTGGGAAGTTCTGGGCTGCAAATGGCCAGAGGCAAGGCGGATGCTGAAGGCTGTGAGAGACAGAGTGAGCAAAGGGTTAAAGCTGACTCATTCCCATTCCGCACACGGAACCACTGGGGAACACAGAATGATGGCTTTTTTTCGTGTGTGTGTGTTCCTGTGTATGTGTGAGCGTGCACACCAGAGGTCAACCTTGGTTGTGACCCATTCTTCGCACGCTGTCCACCTTGTCCTGGAGAAACACAGAAAAGGAAGAGGATGTTACACTGACCTTTTGCTACTGCAAGCCGGAATGAATAAGGGCATGCTGCTGTGCCTGGCTTAATGTGTGTGTGTGGGGGTGGGTCCTGGGGATCAAAAACTTTAGGCTTCATGCTTTTATAGCAAGCACTTGACTTACTGATCTGTCTCTCCTGCTCAGCCTGTCTTCTCTAGTTTGGTCCTGTGTGTGTGTGTGTGTGTGTGTGTGTGTGTGTGTGTGTGTGTGTAGTATGCATGCATGTGTAAGGATGGGCACATGTATGTGTGTGTACTTGCAGGTAGAGGCCAAAGGTTGGTGTGTCTTCCTCAGTTGCTCTCCCTACCTTCTACTGAGGCACAGGATCTCACTTGACCCCAGAGCCGGATGGTTTGGCTAGTGTAGGTAGCCAGCTTGCTTCAGGGAGCCCCTGTCTTTGTCTCCCGTGGCTGGAATTCCAGGCTCTCATGACCCATCTGGCATGTATACGGATGCTGGGCATCCGAGTCCTGGTCCTCACATTTGCATAGCGCTCTACCCACTGAGCCATCTTATCCATCCTGCCTTCATTTTCTAAGCCCTTCCACCTCTGCATTCTCAGATCCTAGGTGGTCAGAACAGGAAGGGGCCTTCATGGTCGCTTCCTTTGTAAGCGGGGAAGCAAGATGGTGCTGTAGCTGAGATAGGCACACTGGGTTAGACCCGCTCCTGCCCTGGCCCTAGGACGTCTCTCCCAACCCAAATCCGCTGTGCTAGTCGACTTCCATGCTACCTGGCCCTGTTCTGTCTTCAGGTCTCCTGCTTTCAGGCTTCCCTGACTGGGGACATCTCTGGAGGCGGGCATGGTAGGAGGGATGCCTGGCTCTGAGGGCTTGATGACAGCTATGCAACTCTGCCTCTGTCTGCAGATCCCACTCACCCCACTCCAGACACCATCAGAAACACCAGCCTCCCCGTCCCTGAATGCTGCTGAGGGACCAGCAACCTCCCTGCCTTTAGGACACTGTGCTGGGCAAAGAGAGGTAGGAGGAACTGGTGTTGACGCTTGTGTCTGAGTGACTAGATGCTCCGCTGCCGGCTCTTAGCGAGTCTGAGGGGAGGGGCTGTTTCCTATGTGCAAACTCCTGTCCAGGCTGGAAGTGAGAGCCCTCAGCTGTCAGCCTTAGACCAAGAAAAACAGGCCTGCCCTCCCCGAGCCATGGCCTGCAAGCCAATGTCTGCAGTCGTGCAGCTGGGTCAGCGCTCACACTTGCTGACCCTTCCATGCCAGGTGCCAACTGTGCAGGACACCTCGGGGCTCTTTTATGGGGTGACGTGTAATTACTATCTCATTTCACAGCAGACACCCTGAAACTTAAGGCTCAGATGGCTTGCTGAAGGTCATGTAAATAAAGGGACCTGGACTTGATCCCCTCTGACTCTAGAGTGCATATAGTTCAGCACTGTACCAGAACAAGAAGGGACTGGGTCACAGAGAAGAGTCATGGAGTCATCCACAGGTCCCTTCTGATGGCACTCCTGCCTGCTGGTCGGCTGGCTGTGGAAGGCCCGGGCTTGCCTGCAGCGAGTGACTTAGGTCTTGGCTATGATACACCCTCCTCTTGAATGTCTGTTCTTTCTGGAGCCAGTAAAACAGGCAGGCTTCCCTCCATCCCAGAACAAACACAGAGGTCAGAACAGGAGCTGGTTGGGCCTGGCAATGTAAAGAGCAGTGGGGATGGAAAGTTGGGCATGGGGTAACCAGTCTACTCAGAGTGTGAGGCACAGCAGCTGGGCTAGGCAGGGCTCAGCTGTCTTCGAGGAAGCTGAGCTGTGTGTAGGACAGACAGCCAGGTGAGGTTGTCCCTAGGATACGCTCTTACGTTTATCTTAAGGCCTGGGCCTTGCATGCCAGCTACACAGAGCCTCTTCCCATGCCATCTCTCCCCAGGTGTGTTGGGAACAGCAGTTGCGGCCAGGAGGCCCGGCAACTCCAGCTACTCCACCCCCAGCACTGGATGCCCTGTCCCCATTTCTTCGGAAGAAAGCCCAGATTCTAGAGGTGCTGCGTGCCCTGGAGGAGACTGACCCTTTGCTCGCGTGCTCACCGGCCACCCCCTGGCGGCCCCCAGGCCTGGGCCCTAGCTCCCCAGAGCCCATCAATGGCGAGCTCTGTGGCCCACCCCAGCCTGAGCCCTCACCCTGGGCACCCTATCTGCTGCTCGGCCCTGGGAGCCTAGGAGCTCTGCTGCACTGGGAGCGTCTCCTGGGGGGCTCTGAGGAAGATGGAGGTACCCGGCAACCCTGGGCACCTAGCAGGGCTCCCCCACAAGCTCAGGGCCCCAGCTCTGGCCCACACTGTGCCCCAGGTAGTAGCTCCTCCTCCTCTTCCGATGAAGCAGGCGACCCCAATGAGGCACCCAGCCCCGACAGCCTGCTAGGTGCCCTGGCCCACAAGCAGGTGAACCTGGGCCAACTCCTCGAAGACACGGAGACTTATCTCCAGGCTTTCCTGGCTGGGGCTGCAGGCCCTCTCAATGGTGACCACCCGGGAGCTGGGAAGCCATCCTCACCAGATCCAGGACCCCCACAGCTGTCCAAGTCCAAAGGCCTCCCGAAGTCAGCTTGGGGTGGGGGTACCCCAGAGGTCAACAGGCTGGGATTTGGTGCTACCTCAGAGGGCCAGGGACCCCTTCCCTTCCTCAGCATGTTCACGGGTGCAGGGGATGCCCCATTGGGCTCACGGCCTGGCCACTCCCACTCCTCATCTCAGGTGAAAAGCAAGCTCCAAATTGGGCCCCCTTCTCCCGGGGAAGCCCAGGGACCCCTTCTGCCCTCGCCAGCCAGAGGTCTCAAGTTCCTCAAACTGCCTCCAGCCTCAGAGAAGGTCCCCAGCCCAGGAGGCCCCCAACTCAGCCCCCAGCTCCCCCGGAATTCTCGAATCCCCTGTCGCAACAGTGGCTCAGATGGTAGCCCCTCTCCACTACTGGCCCGCAGGGGTCTGGGTGGAGGAGAGTTGTCCCCAGATGGGGCACAGGGCCTGCCCAACAGCCCTTCGCCCTGCTCAGCAGTCCCAGAGTCTGTGCAGTTCAGACCCTCGCAGTCAGCTGTGCCCACTACACTGTCTCCAGGACCAGTAGCATCTCCCTGCTTTGAAAACATCCTGGACCTCTCCCGGAACGCCTTTAGAAGCTCTTCCCCAGAGCCACCTCCATCCCCGCTGCAGGTGCCCGCCTACTCACAACTGACTCTGGAGGTACCTCAGACCCCTGAGGTCCTCAGGAGCCCTGGGGCTCCCAGCCCTGGCCTCTCAGAACCCTGCCCCTCCCATATGAGCCCCCAGGAGAAGGGTCTGGACAAAGCAGGTTCTGAGTCTCCCCACCCCAGCCGCAGGACTTCAGGCGGCTCATCCAAGAAGCCTGGCCAGGGATCAGGGCGGCGACCTGGCGATCCTAGCCACACACCTCTGCGGGACAGATTGGCAGCCCTTAGCAAACTGAAGACAGGCCCTGAGGGGCTTCTGGGTCTAGAGAAGAACGGAGTGCCAGTCCGGCCTGGCACGGAGAAGGCCAGACTAGGGCGGTCAGGTGAGAATACTGGAGACGTGCCTCCCTCCGCGAGGCCTCTTGAACAGCCAGAAGCTAAGGGCGTCCTGAGGGGAGCGGTCGCCTTGGGCACAAGCAGCCTGAAGCAGCAGGAACTGGGACTGACAGATCCTGGGGCCCGGGTCTACTCCTCCCACTCCATGGGTGCTCGAGTGGACCTGGAGCCCATCTCACCAAGGAGCTGCCTCACCAAAGTGGAGCTAGCTAAGAGTCGTCTGGCAGGGGCTCTGTGTCCCCAGGTGCCACGCACCCCTGCAAAAGTGCCAGCCCCTAGCCTGAACAAGCCCAAAAGCCCTCACAGCAGCCCGACAAAGCTACCCTCCAAGTCACCCACCAAGGTGACGCCCCGACCTGTGGCACCCTTAGCCACCAAGGAGCCCTCCAAGCCTGACAAAGGGAAGGGCCCTCCTTGGGCGGACTGCAGCACCGTTGGCCAGCCTACGTCCCCAGTACCTGGCCCCACAGATCCAAGCCAGGGTCCAGAAGGGCCAGCCCCACACTCGGCCATCGAGGAGAAGGTGATGAAGGGCATCGAGGAGAACGTCTTGCGACTTCAAGGTCAGGAACGGACACCAGGCTCCGAAGCCAAGCACCGCAACACCAGCAGCATTGCCAGCTGGTTTGGCCTTAAGAAGAGCAAACTGCCGGCTCTGAACCGCCGCACGGAGGCTACCAAGAGCAAGGAAGGGGCTGGTGGGGGCTCCCCACTCCGGAAAGAAGTCAAGACAGATGCCCGGAAGCTGGAGGCTGAGAGTCTCAACATCTCCAAACTGATGGCCAAGGCAGAGGACCTACGCCGGGCACTTGAGGAAGAGAAGGCCTACCTGAGCAGCAGAGCCCGCCCGCGGCCTGCAGGCCCAGCCACCGTGCCCGGCACAGGTCTGGGGCAAGTGCAAGGCCAGCTTGCCGGCATGTATCAGGGTGCAGACACCTTCATGCAGCAGCTCCTGAACAGGTGAGGGCCTGGGCCAGGTGGGAGTGCTCAGAGTGCTGGGGCTTCCCTGAGGTCAAGGGAATGCAGCTCTGTGCTGGTGCCCTGACCAAGAAGGAGGGTTAGGTTAGGATTCAGAAGTGTGGGGTTTACAGCCCTACCCTCCTCCATGCTGGCTAGTGTCAGACTCAGAAAGACTAGCTCTCTTTTGACCCACCTCTCCCCACTCCTGCCCGCCCCCAGGTGCCGGCACACACTAATTGAAGGCTGCTCCCAACCAGGCTGCTGGAGTCTGCCCCGAGAGTGCAAGAAAGACCCCTTTGACTCTTGCCACCAAGGGAGTAGTGGTTTAGGGAAGGGGACCCACTTACAATGTTTACTCTTTCTAGACCAGTTGTGTAAAAGGAATGAAGGACTCAGGCCCTGCGAAGGGCTTTCATTTTGGGCTAACATGTTCTCAGAAACCCCAGGGCAGCAGGCTGGGACTGTCGTATCCAGTCCCTTATGTGAACTGGCCTGCCACTGCGCTAGGGCATGATGATCCTGGGAGGACTTGAAGCTGGGCCCCCCACGGTTTTTTCCTGCTCCTCCTTATTTCCTTGCTTCCCCTCCCCCACCCTGCCCATCTTAAGCTTCAGGAGAAGGGGTCATCCATATGGCTGTCTCCCCAGGATGGGCGGCAGAAAGTACCTCTCTAGGACTAGCTCTGTTGGAGGGTTCGTGGCTGGTATAGTACATATTTTGTGTCACTAATTAAATGCGTATCTAAGACAAACTACTTTTATAAAAGTTTCATTTTGGACCATGGTTCTAGAGATCCATGGGTCATATCTGGTGATTGCCTTCTGCTTCCAGAGAATCCCAAAGTGTGCACACGTGGCCCTGTTGGTGTCTGACAGTCTCGGGACTTCACCCTAATGACCATACCTGATACTGCTACTTCCCGAAAGGTCCTGCCTCTGGAAGCATCTTGATCTTTTGTCTGTTTGAAACAGAGTCTCAATATGTGGACTGTCCTGAAACTCCATGTGTAGCCCAGACTGGCCTCAAATTCAGAGCTCCACCTGCCTCTGCCTGGTGCTGGAATTAAGGTGTGCAGCACCGTGCCTGACAACAAGATAGGGTTTCTCTGTGTAGCCCAGCTATCCTGGAACTCACTCTGTAGATCAGACTAGCCTTGAGCTTACAGAGATGCATCTGCCTATTAAACGTGTGTGCCAGCACTTCCACCTGGCCAGCATTTCCATCTTAATACCTCCTTAGGAACGGTGCCTTTCAACGCCTCAAGCCTTGGGAAACACCGATTTCCCTCACGTCCGTCCGTTGTGCTGTTCCTAGGGTGGATGGCAAGGAGCTGCCCCCGAAGAGCTGGCGGGAGCCCAAGCCTGAGTATGGGGATTTCCAGCCAGCGTCCACTGACCCCAAGAGTTCCTGGCCTGCCTGTGGACCCCGGAATGGCCTGGTAGGGCCACTTGAGGGCTGCGGAAAACCTTCTGGAAGGGTAAGTTCTTAAGTAGGGGCCGCATCAAGGGCCTGGCTTCCTGGGCACCTGGAAGTCTGCATAGGGCTGACCACCCAGCCTCCTGTACCCCTAGAGGCACTGTGGGAGACTTGGGAGTCACTGGAATGGACACCCATATCTTCTGTACCCACACAGCCCAGCAATGAGCCAGGTAGGCGGGAAGAGATGCCCTCGGAGGACAGCCTGGCGGAGCCAGTTTCCACTGCACACTTCACAGGTCAGCAGGGTCCCTTCCCTCCTCACTGCCCGCCACTGCAGCGGAGCCAGCAGAGCCAGCAGTGCCATAGCTGCTGGAGATGTAGATCTCAGTGGCTGCACAGGAATAATTCTCCCTGCCCTAGGGGCACCTGTGTCAAGCTGAGAGTGTGGCAGAGGTGGGGGTGAGTTCTGTGAGACCATCCTTTGGGGCCGAGAAGACTGGGTGGGGTGGCCTGGAGTTGGGAGAGAGCGAAGGGCTGAGCCCGAGCCTCATGCTCGTGTACTCTCTCCACAGCCTGTGGCTCCTTGACTCGAACCTTGGACAGTGGCATTGGGACCTTCCCCCCGCCAGATCATGGCAGCAGTGGAACCCCCAGCAAGAATCTCCCCAAGACCAAGTCATTGCGGCTAGAGCCTCCGCCAGGGGCACCCCCAGCTCGGCCTCCAGCCCTCACCAAAGTCCCTCGTCGTGCCCACACACTGGAGCGGGAGGTGCCAGGCATTGAAGAGCTGCTGGTGAGTGGGCGGCACCCCAGCATGCCAGCCTTTCCTGGACTGCTCACTGCTCCTTCAGGACACCGAAGCCATCAGACCTGTCCTGATGGTGAGTGTCCTAGCAGGCAGTCAAGTGTCCTAGACATCGTCAAGAGGATGCTTAGCGCTGGGCAGATGCAGCCACTTTCCCCTTCTCTTGGGCAGATCCCTGTGAAGATCCAGGCCCTCCCCCACCTGTCCAGCTGGCCAAGAACTGGACCTTCCCCAACACCAGAGCGGCTGGCAGCTCCAGCGACCCCTTCCTGTGCCCACCCCGACAACTGGAGGGCCTGCCTAGGACCACCATGGTAAGCTTCCAGAAGGAAGAAGAAAGGGGTCTGGGGTCAGGAGGGAGTGACACGGGGAGACTGACATGCCTGGTAAGGAACTTACAGCCTGCCCATCCAGGAGTGAGGGCCCATTTTGGGAGAGGGCTTCCTTGCTCCCCAGAACCTTGGAAGGACTGTGTATAGTGAGAACGCCAGTCTGCCTCTGTGGCCCTCTCAGCAGGTCCTTCTTCTTTAGGCCCTGCCCGTGGACCGGAAGCAGAGCCTGGAGCCTAGCCGCACAGCTACGCCTCAGGGCCCAGCATTTGGGGGCAGTCGTACCCCCAGCACGTCGGACATGGGCGAGGAAGGCAGAGTGGCCAGTGGGGGAGCTCCCGGGCTGGAGACCTCCGAGTCCCTAAGTGACTCACTCTATGACTCGCTGTCGTCCTGTGGGAGTCAGGGCTGAAGGACGGCACCCACTCCAGTTCCTCTGGAGCTGGGGACCCCAGACTGGGCCTGCTTTCATGCTCCCTGCCTCGGAGCCAGTGAGGCTCCATGTGAAGGGACCAAGGAGAAGTGACCAAGAAGTGACTGGGGTCCCTGGCATACCCCACTGCTGCTGTGGATGAGACAACCAAGCTCAGCTCAGGGAGAGACCTCACCCCTGGTCCCTTAACTCGCCAGAGTCGGGCTCTTCTCTGAGGGACTGGGGGCCCCGACTGCTTGTCCCAGCTCCCACCTTGGACGGAGCCATCTTGTGGTGCTGGGCTTCCTGCCCGCCATTTCTGCCCAACCTGGCTGCAACCCTGCCCCAGAAGTCCCCATGGGGCCAATTTTGGAAGCCCCGGGCTTGTGGAGCTTGGGGTGAGGGGGACAAATTGCCTTCTCTCTCTGCCCTGGTCCTCCCTGCTGTCTGAATGGTGCTGCGTCCCCTCCCCACGTCTTTGGGGTCTGTTGGTCTGTCTTCATCTTTGTTTTTATATACACACACATATAAAAGCGCCTGGCCCAGCCCCACTGCGGTTAATTTATCTGATGTTTAAAGCGGCTGCTCTGCTTCCAGCCTCTGCTTCTGCGGTACCCTAATAAAATGTGGCGGCCTCTCCCCACCGTGACTGTTGTGACAGCGTCTCCCTTTATCTAGCCTTGCTAGCTTCTCTGTACATGACCCCGAGGTGGACAGGGGGGCAGGTCGAGGGGACCCCAGATGCTCTTACGAGGCTCTGTGCCTGCATTCCACCCAGAGAATGTGGTTAGTCCTCTAGGAGGTGACTTAGGGGTTTGTGAAGGAGGCCCTGCTTGGATCTGAGGTTTGAGGCTGCCCCCAAGGCCAGGGGAGGCACAAGGCTGGGCAGCCTTGGAGAGAGATGGGGAAGAAGACTGATCGTGCACTCAAGCCCCTCCTTGTGCCAGCTGGGGGACAGGCCAGGTGACGAGCAGCCTCACTGGCTTTGCACAGAGGAACAGTTAGTGACTGCCCAGGCAGAGAGGGGACGAGCCTGGTGGGAATGCTAACCTTGCCGTCTTCCCGCCCTCGTGGCTTGCAAACCGTCCCCTACAGCTGCAGAGTGCTAGACCAGAAGTCAAGGATCGCCATCACCAAAGCTGCCGTTCTGAAAGCTGAATCACTACAAACTTCGGTCTTCCTCACCTGTCTATTAGATTGTGCTAAGCCAGGAACTCCCATCAGCTACGTCCCCCGAATGTTCTGCAGTCCATCCATGTCTGGCCTATCCCGTCATTGAAGACATTAACAAGAGCCAGAACAGGGCGATGCTAACAGTTTTGTTTAAGTTTGCCAGCCTTCATGTCCCTGCCTCTTCCTAAGTGGGCTGAAGGAAGTCTGCAGCCCCCTGACTTGTCTCTTGGCCTATTATTGCCTTAAGCTTGATGTATTACATCATTTCCTGTTAGAACTACCCTGGCCTTCACACGGCCATTCCTTTCTGGAAAGCTGTTTGGCATGGTGGGCTTGCGTCTCTTCTCTTTCCCTTCAAAGGATCCATCCATGTTCTCGCCAGGGTCCAGTCAGTTTGCTCCTGGGCTCTGTTCTTGCTCCCTGGGCCAGGGTGAGCTGACTGGAGAAATGTCCCAGGACCCATGACGATGCCCAGAGGCAGCCCTTCCCGCCATGGCTCTCCTCCCTGATCCTCTGCAGGCTTTTGCACTGAACAGCTGCAGCCCACGGCTCTACTATGCCCACCCCCGATGAGGGCTCAGTTCCAACTGAAACAGTTTGGGGATGGGTGTGTGGGTGTGGTTATTGATACTCCAGGGAACCCAGTTTCTGGGACTTCAAGGAAGGCCTTGGCTAAAAACCTCCTTGATCCTGGCTGTGGCAGAACACTTGGTATCTCAGTGTGCAACAGCTGCTCGTAAAGTGTGACCTCATTCCTAACTCAAGAACAATGGGCAAATGTTCACCTTCCCATAGTGCAAATCCTCGGCTGGCTCTGCCCAACACAGGAAGCTCTGATGCCAGACACCTGCCCTGCCTCCGACCAGCAGGCCTTAGCAAAGGCCTGAAGAAAGACACGCTCACTGCTGCGCTTCCTTTGCAGGTCGTCCCAAAAGTGTGGACTGAGCTTTTTCTCAGGGCTGCAGTGGTTTTATTTTCTTTTCCTATACCTAGCTTTTTCCCCCCACAAATAGTATGTTTTGTTTCCATTACCAAAAAAAAAAAAAAAAAAAAA